TTCCTGCTGGGCTACACCGAGACCCTGCTCAGCCACTTCTACAAGTGCCCCGTGCGCCTGGAGCTGCAGACCGTGCCCGCCCGCGTGCCCTACAAGTACCTCTAGGGCTGGGAATGAACCTATAAACATCCCCATGGAATGGTCTGGGACATCCCCCCTGTGCCCTACAAGTACCTGTAGGGCTGGAATGAACCTAGAGGGGTCCCCATGGAATGCTCTGTGCCCTACAAGTACCTGTAGGGCTGGAATGAACCTATAGGGGTCCCCATGGAATGGTCTGGGATATCCTCTGTTCCCTACAGGTGCCTGTAGGGTCAGGAATAAACCTATAAACATCCCCATGGAATGGTCTGGGACATCCCCCTGTGCCCTACAAGTTCCTGTAGGGCTGGAATGAACCTAGAGGGGTCCCCATGGAATGGTCTGTGCCCTACAAGTGCCTGTAGGGTCGGGAACGAACCTATAAACGTCCCCATGGAACGCTCTGGAATGTTCTCTGTGCCCTACAAGTACCTGTAGGGTCGGGAATGAACCTATAAATGTCCCCATGGAATGCTCCGGAATGTTCTCTGTGCCCTACAAGTGCCTGTAGGGCTGGATAACCATAAACATCCCCATGGAATTCTCTGGGATGTCCTCTGTGCCCTACAAGTACCTATAGGGCTGGGATAAACATATATGTGTCCCCATGGAATTTTCTGTGCCCTACAACTGCCTGTAGGGTCGGGAATAAACCTATAAACATCCCCATGGAACGCTCTGGAATGTTCTCTGTGTCCTACAAGTGCCTGTAGGGTCAGTAATAAACCCATAGGTGTCCCCATGGAATGCTCTGTGCCCTACAACTGCTTGTAGGGCTGGAATAAACCTATAAACATCCCCATGGAACGCTCTGGAATGTTCTCTGTGTCCTACAAGTGCCTGTAGGGTCGGGAATGAACCTATAGGTGTCCCCATGGAATGTTCTGGAATGTTCTCTGTGCCCTACAAGTGCCTGTAGGGCTGGAATAAACCTATAAACGTCCCCATGGAATGCTCTGTGCCCTACAAGTGCCTGGAGGGCTGGGATAAACCCATAAATGTCCCCATGGAATGTTCTGGAATGTCCCCCGTGCCCTACAAGTGCCTATAGGGCCAGGAGTGAAGGTCCCATGGGGCGTGCTGTGGGACAGCAGCCGTGGTGCCACCAGCGCAGGTGGCACTGCCAGGGATGGGCAGCCAGGGCTGTGCCCCACATGTCCCCACAATGTTCTTGTGCCCCACACCCTGTCCCCGTGTCCCCACAATGTTCTTGTGCCCCATGTCCTGTCCCCCTGTCCCCACAATGTTCTTGTGCCCCACGTCCTGTCCCCATGTCCCCACAATGTTCTTGTGCCCCACACCCTGTCCCCGTGTCCCCACAATGTTCTTGTGCCCCATGTCCTGTCCCCGTGTCCCCACAATGTTCTTGTGCCCCACACCCTGTCCCCGTGTCCCCAGCCCCTGTGACTTTTGGGAGCCGAGGCGCAGCCCCCCTTCCTCCCGACCCATCCCAGTCCGACCAGTCCAGGATGTGACAAAACCAGTTTAAATAGAAAGGGGGGAGTGGCACAAGTGGGGAGTGGGGATCGGGGTGGGGGGTCAGTCCTCTCCGGACACCGTGTCCGTGGTTGTGCCCATGTCCATGTCCATGGTTGTGCCCATGTCCATGTCCATGTTTGTGCCCATGTCCGTGTCCGTGTTTGTGCCCATGTCCGTGGTTGTGCCCATGTCCATGTCCGTGTCCTTGCCCGTGTCCTTGCCCGTGTCCTTGCCTGTGTCCTTGCCTGTGTCCGTGTCCTTGCCCGTGTCCTTGCCCGTGTCCTTGTCCATGTCCTTGCCTGTGTCTGTGTCCTTGTCCGTGTCCGTATCCCTGCCCATGTCCGTGTCCTTGTCCTTGTCCACATCTGTGTCCCTGCCTGTGTCCCTGCCCATGTCCATGTCCATATCTGTGTCCGTGTCTGTGTCCGTGTCCTTGTCTTTGTCCTTGTTCTTGCCCCTGTTCTTGTTCTTCTTGTCCTTCTTCTTGTCCTTGTCCTTGCCACCCTTGTCCTTGTCACCCTTGTCCTTGCCACCCTTGTCCTTGTCACCCTTGCCCATCTCGGGGTCGGTGTCCTTGAAGCAGGGGTTGCCAAGGCCCAGCCCTTTCAGCGCCGCGTCCCCCGGCGTGTCCTCGTCCACCGGCACCCGCAGCCTGGGCCCTGTGGGGACAGTGGGCTCAGTGTGGGAGCGGTGACACGGGGCTGTCCCTGTCCCCAGCGGTGACACGGGGCACAGGGGGCTCAGTGTGGGGCACATGTCCCTGTCCCCAGAGGTGACACGGGGCACACATCCCTGTCCCCAGTGGTGAAACGGTGACACGGGGGTCTGTCCCTGTCCCCAGCAGTGACACGGGGCACATGTCGCTGTCCCCAGCGGTGACACAGGGCTGTCCCTGTCCCCGTCCCCAGCGGTGACACGGGGCACATGTCGCTGTCCCCAGCGGTGACACGGGGCACATGTCGCTGTCCCCAGCGGTGACAGGGTGACACAGGGGTCTGTCCCTGTCCCCAGCGGTGACACGGGGCACATGTCGCTGTCCCCAGCGGTGACACGGGGCACATGTCGCTGTCCCCAGCGGTGACAGGG